CTAATGACCGGCTGGGTAGGTGTGGCTGGGGGCAGATTATGGGACTGGGCGGGAATCGGGGGCGCTGAGGTGGCCACGGACAACTAGTCACACCAGCTGTTAAATTATTGCCTCTCGGCATTTTCTTTTCTGTGGAAAACAAGTCCAAATGCCTCTTTGAGTGCTTAAGGTTGCAGACCCCTGAACTAGATCATCCATGTCAAGTATTTCAAGCCTATTATAACCAAGACTTCCTGAAGTCTAACTTGCCCAGAATCTTTTCACTAGTCAAGATAGGCTACCACAGTGTTTCTCAACCTTGTCGGTTTTAAAAGGCTGGCTGGAGATTTCTGGGAGTTGAAGTCCACACATCTTAAAGCCACCAAGATTTAGAAACAATGAACTACAAGATCATTGGCACAGATTCAGGCGAGAGGACAAAGGTATTCTGTACAGAAGCAAATGTCAAAACATGGAACTAGTCTTAGGCTTACTAGTGCTAGAATAGTCTCTGCAGCTTTATTCACATTTGTTACCACCGGAACGGATATTTGTCCATAGAAATCACTTGATGGTCCTCTAGGTTCTCAATGGTCATTATTTGAATACTGACTAAAACTTTGCAGACAATCCAGACCTGCGTAGTACAGTTGGACAAAAACACAAGCAAACTGATCCTGGGTTGCTAAGTTGGACAAACTAAAAGAGCGTCAGCATTCCCGAGATGCTTCAGGATGTTTCCTCATTATGGGTTGCCTGGCCTTGAGAAAAGCTGGAGTTCCTTACTGAGCATCTGCAGAGGATTATTCAGAAGATTCTCATTAGTGGGTTGGAGATTTAGATTAGAACATTCACCCAATTGATCTGGTGCAACAGCTCTCCATCCTGGATGAGTCAAGAGTCATCATCTCCACCATCAAATCTCTCGCTCCATCTGCAATCATGGCTTTAAGATGTCAGGCATAGTCAGGTTCCTACAGCGACCCACAGATCAACACTCAGTTTATTGGGGGGGGGGGAGCAGACTCTACCCTTGCAGGAAATTGTAAGGAAGAAAAATAAATTCTGCCATCATCACTATCCCCTACCCAAAGCTCACCAACCTCTTTATTTCAGAGAACCCCAGCTTCTGCTGCTATGCGCAATGCCCAACCTAACCCTCCATCGCTTCATTGGGTTTGGCCTCCCGGGTAAAGGAGCACCTCCTGCTTCCCTTGTGGCTGCCACTGATGTATCCGAGAATGCTGGATAAGGTTACAGCGGCGAGTGAATTGCCTACCACAGTCAGGACAGTGAAAAAGGGAATCCGCCGTGGTTGCTGGCTGGTTCTGGTTCTGGCGCAGGTTGTAGTTAAAATAGAAGCCCCTGTGGTGGCGGTGGAAAGGCCGCTTGGCAGAATGGATCGCTTGGTGGCGCGCCAGGCCAAAGTCATCCGTGAAGCGCTTCCCGCACTTGGAGCACTGGCACTCCCCGGGCTGGCGATGTTGCTGCTGGGCCAGCTGAGAGGGCTTGGCGAAGCTCTTGGGACAACTTCCATGCTGGTAGGATTGCTTTCTGGCATGGTGCCACTGGTGTCGAGCCATGTCCGAGTTGCTAAAGAACTTCTTGCCACAGTCTGGGCATGCAAAGCCTGGCATGGTTTGCTGCAAAAGGGACCGTGCCCTCTGCCTTCTGGGAGAGTGACCCTTGACAGTGGCATCACAACTCTTGAGAGGTCTTGGAGACGTTGGCGTGGATGGCAAGACATCTTTCATATCCTTTTGTGTCCGGGTTGCCAGCTTTTCCTTTTCATTTGAAAACTCCGGCTCTCCTTTAAAGGGGGAGGAAAAAGTAGGAATTATATTCAGCCTGGAGTAGTTTTCCATTGGTTGATACTCTGAAATTCCAGTCAACACGAAACTAGATCCTGCTAGACCTCTACCTTCACATGCATGCAGTCCTCAACTTATCGCCAGTTGCTTAGTGACCATTCAAACTTACGACGGACCTACCAAGGGACTACTTACTACTGTTATTCTCAATTTCGAAGGTCACCCCTCCTTGCAGTTACGTGATTGAACTAGGTGCTTGGCAAACAGGCTGCATTTACAACGGTTTGCAGAATCCTGAAGTCATGTGATCTTTGTAAAGGTTCTGACTTCCTCAAAGAACTTCTTTAGTGGGTAAATCATATTGGCAAACTTTGAAGGGAAGCCAACTCTGACTCCCCCTCCCCCCAGGTTACAGTATAGTTAAAACCAGTAATGACCCCTTTCCCGTGTCATTAATCACATTGGCCAATTAAGTTAATTGGCAGGCTTTTCCTGTATTCCTTTCCTCCTTCCTCCATCGCCAAGGAGATAACCTTGGTTCTCAAAAGAAAGCTCTATGTTGTGTATAGTAATACATTCCAACCTCCTCCCATACAGTGCGGCAAAGCTGAATCAGGAAAGGTTCAGTTCAGCATTGACAACCTCCTTTTACAACAGTTTTGCTGAAAACCACCATACTGTTCGGCAAAACACTGAAAGTAGCAAACCATTAATTTAAAAAAAAACTAGGCTCTACAATCTATCAATGACTATCTGTCATTTGAGAGCTTAAACAGGAAGAAAAGCAGTTAGTTCTCCAACTATGAAATAAAGGTAAAGATAAAGATTCCCCTGGCGCATATGCGCAAGTCGTTCCTGATTCTAGAGGGCGAACCTCATCTGTTTCAAAGCCGAAGAGCCGGTGTCGTGGTTCCTATTTTTCTACTTGCATTTTTACGTACTTTCGAACTCCTAGATTGGCAGAAGCTAGGACAAGTAACAGGAGCTCACTCTGTTACGCGGCGCTAAGGATTCAAACCGCCGAACTGCCGACCATTTGATCAACAAGCTCAGCGTCTTAGCCACTGAGCCGCCACGTCGCTTAACTAACAAATAGTGTGCTTAATTGGATAAATGGCCTGGATATTAATATATAGAAAACTTATTATATTCATATGAATCAGTATATTTTAAAATCTAATCTATGACTAAAGGAGCATCTTGGCACTCATGGTTAGGATGGTGGGTTGGAGGTTAGCAAGCCTGTGTTTGAGACTTGTGTGATGCCCTGGGGTAGGATGAGCTCCCATCTTTGCTCCAGTTCCTGCTGGGAACATGAAAGGGGCCTCTGACTGTGCGTCTCAAGGGCAGCCATAATGATCCTTTCAACTAATCCTTTGAACTCAGAGGCACTTCCCGCTTCTGACACAAGTGCAGTGTGATCTATAATTTATATTTAACTTCTTGAATTCTTCAAATCTTACCAAACTGGTTACATATTTCCATCATACGTGTACCATGGCACTATGGGTGCCTTCTGTATAATTTTATTACTGTTATCTATGTGCTCCATGCCATACGCTAAATAAATATCAATTGCTTTGAAGATTTTTCTCCTGGAAGAGGTGCCATGCCCTCATGTAGCTGCTACACGTTCCAGTGGGGGTGGGCTTCCCGGTGTTGAGAAACTCGCCTGCTATTATACATTGTTTCACAAAGGAGCCCCATGCCCATTCCCTGATTTTGGGCACAGAAGCAAATCAAATCAAGAAGCAGAAGCAACCTTTTCCTCACCCGTGACTTCTGGAGAAGCACCTTCTTCAAGGTTCTGAATTTTATCCATGTAGAGTTCATTGTTCTTGTTTCTCCCCATTTTGAAGACGAGATCTGGATTGTTGGTGGGAAATCCTACCAATAAAAAAAGAGAGGGGAGCGTGGGGGGGGAATAGTAGAATTATTATTATTTTTTTTAAAGCAAATCATCTTAAAGACCATAATCCAGGAGAACAACTTACACAAAACTCAAACCTGCCTGCATGTCAAATTAGAATGTTTCAACAGCACAAGTTAAACTCAGGGATGAAATGCTATCAGTTCGGACCGGTAAAATGCTACCACTTTGCCTGAACTGGTAGTAAAAAAAAATGCTACCAGTTCAGGCAAACTGGTTTTTCCAAAATCAGCTGTGATGCGCAATTTATATTAGCTAGAAAACAAGATTTCCTGCTTTCTAGCTAATCTAAATCACGTGGCATAGCGGATCCCTTCCCCACTGTTCGCTTACCTTTATAAGCCCACTCGGTAGCAGGTTCTGCCCACCCGCCCAGACGTCATTTTGACGCTCTGCGCATGCCCAGAAGGTCCTATGTGCGCTCACATTGCTACCGAACCGGAAGCAAAGATAAGTGGATTTTACCCCTGGTTAAATCCAACTTCTGGTTTTCAATGGCAAGACTAGCTGTAGGGCTCAAACTTATGGTGAAGGAACCAATCAGCAGTTTCTCCCTTAGAACAGGGATCCCCAACCCCCAGGCCACAGCCCACTACTAGGCCTTTGACCATTTGGAACCCGGCCATTGGAAGTAGCGGGCGAGCGTGTGGCATCCCCACTTGCAAGAGCAGCAGGCAAGCACATGGATGCGTGCTCTATTCGCATGAGCGAATGCCCATTGTTTGTGCAAATGGAGCAGCCCGCACATGAGTGCCATCCCCTTCCCCATCCCGAAAAGGGGAATTGGGGAATTAGAAGGGATCTGGCTATGGTTTGCGGCTCAGTGATCTTATTATTATTGTGATGGTAAAAGATAGGCTATCATATATTTACTAATCAAATCTCAGAGAATTATAGCTCCTATGTTAACCTAGTAGGAAAGGATAAATAAATTCCATGGGAGGCTTTATTAAAAGCCTTTCAAACTTAGCCTGGTTAAACCTAATTTACACACTCTCTATCTTGTCTTGTGTTCATAATATAACAGGCCAAAGCTACATAAGCTCTGATTCTGCTTTTGCTTAGGACTGGTCACAAATGGCCAATGCTTTGCAGAGAACTAAGCCTACGCTGAACGCATCTGCATGCTTAATTTGTTATTAAATGATTTGGTTAAGTGAGCCAGGTTTAGGCCACAAACATTATATATGACATAAGTCTCTTTCTGACAGTCCTTCAAAGTAGTCCCGATCAGGTAAACAATACTAATACTGTTCTAAGCTTATTGTGAGGTCATAGTAACAGAAACTTGCAAGTGCTTCCTTCCTTCCTTGACTTTGCATTCGAGGGAATGCAGAAGGATCAATCCTAAGAGACTTTCTCCCATGCCTGCCTTGGACTTAGGTTTGTCTGGCTGGGGAATTCTGGGAGTTGAAGTCCACACCTCTTCAGGTGGTCATAGTTAAGAAACACCGGTGTAGGCTTCAGCCCTTCCTCCTGTCCCTCAGGTTTATTCTCCCAGCCCATTACACTTCCCCAGTCCTGTCCAACTCTCACCCAATTCTCGGACATTCTCATAATTCTCCATCATCACTTTTGTGAAAATCTTCCTCTGAGATTCATCTAGGAGTCTCCATTCTTCCTCTGAGAAATACATGGACACCTCTTCAAAAGTCACCAGAGCCTGAAACCATTCAAATGTTGAATAATTGAGACCCCATCCTGTACAGATAGCCCTCGACTTACAACCAATTGGAGATCGTTCAAAGTTACAACAGTACTGAGGGGGGAAAAAACTTAAGACCGTTTTTCATACTTACGACCTTTGCAGCATCCCCAGGGTCATGTGAACGAAATTTGGCTGCTTGGCACCTGGCTCATATTTATGACAGTTGTAGTGTCCCAGGATCATGTGATCCATTTTTTAAACTTTCTGAAAAACTTCAGTCAAGGGAGAAGCCATTCGCTTAACAACCGTGTTCCTAATTTTACAATTGCAGTGGTTCACTTAATAATTGTGGCTATAAAGTCATAAAATGGGGGGAAACTCACTTAACAACTGCATTGTTTAGCAATGCAAATTTTGGGCTTAACTGTCGTCGTATGTCAAGGACTACCTGTGCTTCCAAAGGAAACTGCTGAGAACATCTCAGGGGCTGCTACAAAGAAGAGGGAGTCAAGGTATTCTCCAAAGCACCTGAGGGCAGGACAAGAAGCAATGGGCGGAATGACCGAGAATCTCCACAGACATTTAGCAATGGCTGGAAACTAATCAAGGAGAGAAGCAACTTAGAACTAAGGAGAAAATAACCTGACAGTGAGAACAATTAATCAGTGGAACAACTTGCCTCCAGCAGTTATGAATGCTCCAACATTGTAGGTTTTTAAGAAGAGGTTGGATAACTATTTGTCTGAAATGGCATATGATTTCCTGCCTAAACAGGGGGTTGGATTAGAAGACCTCCAAGGTCCCTTCCTAACTCGGTTATACTATTCTATTTTAACATGGGAATGATAAGTTGTTGCAGTTTGTCTTTGATTTACGACAATTGGGACCCAGATTCTCTGTTGCTAAGCAAGTGGATTGTTAATTAAGTCGCACAAAATTTTATGATTTTTTTACAGCCATGGTTGTTAAACAATTCACTTTTTTTTTAAAAAAAGTTAAACTAATTAAATTGAGATCATGGATGTACAATGAGTTATGCTAAAAATGTCTGTGAAACCTTAAATGGCAAGAAAAAAAATAAGAAAAATAGATGGATTACTCAGACCAGGGAATAGGAGAGAAGAGAGTAACAGAGGGTTTAATTGAAGAACAAGAATATGGAGGAAAAAGGAACAGAAAATGGAAAACAGCTAGAGGTTTTCATTGGAGTAAAATAGTCTAATAGATCAAACAGGGAATGATAACTTGGATTAACTTTGAAGGGGCACTTAAGGATATTGTAGATTTATTAAAAAGGAAATAAGGGTAAAATGGAAAATATGGAAAGAAAACAATAGAGCTGAAATTGGAAAAGAATTATGATGTAAAATGGATTGTGTACATGGTAAGATGTAAAAAAGAAAAAAAACACTGGACGTTTTGTTCATAAAGATGTATGTGTAACAAACAAACAAAAGGGGGGGGCATGGTCGTTAAGCAATTAACTGCAGTTGTTAAATGAATCACATGGTCGTTAAGTGAATCTGGCTTCCTCCATTGACTTTGCTTGTCAGAAGCCAGCTAGGAAGGTAACAAATAGCCATTACATGAGCCCAGGGTGTTGCAACCATCATAAATACATGCCAGATGTCCAGCACCTGAACTTCAATGTTACTGTTTGGATCGTATGACGGTCATAAGCATAAGGATTGATCTAAGCCCCTTTTTTTCAGTGCTGTTGAAACTCTGAACAGTCACTAAACAAATTTAGTCACAGACATCTTTGAGAAGGCAGAAACTACGACGTTCCAAATGACAAAGATGTGATTTAAATCTTGCATTCAAATTAAGGAATAGCATATATATTATTTATACTAAGACAGAATTACTAAATCATGCATATTTCCTCATATCATTTCAATGACAAAAAATAGGAATATTGACAGAAGTCCAAAGAATACATATTTATCTATTATAGTCCTGCAGCATGAGAAAGGGAGAAAAACCCCTTAATTTTCAAACAATGTCATTTGTTTATGAATTTATTAAACCATCTCAGTGAAGGCTACTGTTAAGCATCAGCGCACCCATCTGTTATATCAGCTAATTGGTATTCTGCTTTTATAAATACTTCAAGGCCGTGAACATATCCAATAGCCTTCATCCTCTTATTTTTCCTACAACATCAACCCGCCAAGGTGAATGGCTACTCATCCTTATTTCAAGAATCAATTGTTAGAAATAGGATGATTTGCCACAAAATGTTTTTTTTCCTCCTGCTTAGGCAGGGTAGGTGGGTGTTGGACTTGATGACCTACAAGGTCCCTTCCAACTGTTAATCTCTGTGTGTGTATGTGTGTGTGTGTTTTCCAGTATAACACTGGAACGCCTCGAGCAATTTCAACCAAGATGACTTACTTTCTGGAAACAAATACTGTGAGGATAAGACACCCCTAACACCTCTCAGAGTGGGGGGGGGGTGTTCTGTTAAGATACAGCCTGCTGTGCCTTAAAGTGGATTCTACTGTACAGCGCTGTGGAGTTGCCATGGTAACAGCTTCACAGTACTCCGCAAGGGAGGTCCCTCTGGTAAGGGGGAAAATCCAACATTAGAAATTATGTTTGGTCTGGACATTTTCCCCTTATAAATAAATACCTTGACAATGCCAGGTTATCAGTTAGTCTGTTAAAAAAATGAATGAGTTCTCAAGGGCACATCATTGGGGAACACTGAAGAACTCCAAGGAGTCAGATGACCCAAATGATCCAATAGGAATGCAAACCGCCCTATATAAATTCCTGCTTCTCCAGAGTTCCTCAATCTGAAAAATTAAAGACCTGATCTTTGTTCTTTGGCAATTCGCTTTCCTCATAGATAAGTTGTTTTTCAACCTCAAATAGTGATTCTAACACCATCACCCCCTAAATATTGGGGCCTTAGTGGGTCAATATTGAGACACTATGCCTCACAGTTAATAGCCTTTAAGATCCCTCACCTTTTTCCCATGTCTCTCAAGCAAAGAAAGTCCTGTCAGAAAGTTTTCCACCAACTCGACAGCCTGACCGCAACTTTCCGGGTGCTGCTGCCATACCCAATTCTGTATTTCTTTGGGCAAGGTAGCCAAAAATTGTTCCAGGACCAGCAGTTCTAGAATCTGTTCCTTACTACGTCTCTCTGGTTTCAACCAATGGTGGCAAAGGTCCAATAGTTGCCTGTAAGCTTTTCGGGGTCCCTCACCTTCTGGGTAACAGTACCAGCGAAAACTCTGGCGGGCACTCTCCATGGCAATGCCTCCTTCTTTCAAGATGCTTGTCACTTCTTCCTCTTCTCCAGCTGTGAGATTATTACAAGCTGCCTCTTCAAGTTCTCCTATTCTGTCAGGTTCTGTTAAATGGATCATCCCTTCTTCAGAATCTCTTGGTTTGTTTTGGGAAATCACATTGGCCTGGTGATTGCCCCGTAAGGTGTCCTTGGATCCTTCTGCCTTCTGAATATAGTCCTCACAGATCTTAGCCATCTCCATCTGCGTGACTTCAGTTTGAGTGGCCTTTTCAACTTTGGAGAGGCCTCTACCTTTAACAGGTTTTGTGAAGTCCTTAGTCTTCCCTCCATCTGTGGCCATTAATGGGGCCTCATCTTGTAATTCTGGCACGGTGCAAATCTTGATATCATCTCTGAGCTCAATCCTAGATTCTGGTGAGGACTTCCCTTGGACTTCAATTTCTTCTTCAATAGTAATCACGCAATCAATTCCAACCTTCCCTTCAGTGTTGGCCTCCTTCTCTTTAAAGGAATCAGAAGAATTTTCAGAGGAAACCACACAAACCTGAATGTCATCCAGCATTATCTTAGGAGGGCTTGCATCTGTCTCTTTGTGCTGTGGACTCGGAAGGAGGACCTGCTGCCAGACTTCCCAGTACTGGGGCTTCACAACCGTTCCATTTAGATCCACACGGTCTTTCCAGGATGGTGAGCAACTTAGGAATTCCTTAATCGTCCCAACAGGAGGCGAACTCTTCTCCATTTCTACTTTAATTTAGATTTCTGGCTTTGGAAATGCGGAGAAAAGAAGCAATCGGCTTAGAATCTAATAGGAAGTCGGATTCCTCGAGAAGCCGTCGTAGTCACCTCTTGCTGATTTTTCGGAACTTAGTTTATGTTCACCCCATGAACAGACATCCTCCAGAAAAGAGTTAAAGAGGATTCTTCCAGCCAGCTGAAAGGGGGGAGAGGGGAGAAAATGTACCTGGTCAGAAAAAGTTGGCAATTGTGAATCAAAGGAAAAAAAAAATACAGGCAGTCCTCAACTTACAACAGCAATTGGGCCAGAATTTCAGTTGCTAAAACAATGTGGTCATAGAGCAAGACAGGGAAGGAGTAAGACAACGTGAAAGAGTGTGACAGAATGCATGAGAGGCATAGTGCAGGTTGGAGAGGGGGTGAGACCGTTCGGAGGGGGGGGGTTGTACAAAAGATGCAATCCAGACCTGGGAGGGGGTACATGAGGAGCATAACAAAGGTTAGGAAGAGTGCGAGGGACGTACAAGAGGTGCAGGGCAGGTTTGGAAGGATGCATGAGAAACACAATGTGTTGGGAAAGGTGTGAGAAAATGTGCAAGAAGGTGTGATGCTGGTCAGGATGGCTGCACGTTGGCCACACAGGGCTGCAAAGATCAGGAAGGTGAATGAAAGGAGTGGCGTGGGTCAGGAGGAATACACAAGGGGTGTGGAAGAGGGACGGTGAGAGTCAGCAAAGGATGCATGAAAGTGCAGGGGAGCCCACGAGAAGAGGGTGAGTGAGACTGCATGGAGGTACACAAGAGGCACAAAGCAGGTTGAAAAGGTGCCATGAAAGTCTGGTGTGTGTGTGTGTGTGTGTGTGTGTGTGTGTGTGTGTGTGTGTGTGTTGTGTGTGTAAAAAAGACACAGCTCAGGAGGCGCACCAACCCAAAGATTTTGAAATGGTTTCTCTCCAGGGTGGAGCTGTCATGAAAGACCACTGGTGTAGCCATTAAGTAGAACTGAATCTAAAGGTTTTTGCAAGAGCTACAGTGGTTAGAGTGCAGTACTGCAGGCTACTTCTGCTGACTGACTGTAATTTGAACCTCACCAGGCTGAAGGTTAACTCAGCCTCCCATCCTTCCGAGGTAGGTAAAATGAGGACCTAGATTGTTGGGGGGGCAAAAGGCTGACTCTGTAAACAGCTTAGAGAAGGCTATAAAAGCACTGTGAAGAGGTATGTAAATAAGTGCTATTGTTATTGCACATGCTGAACGCATATGATAAAACTTAAAATGCCTCGAATCTGCCTCTTTTTAGCAGCCTTCTGATCTGGAATCCAAGAAACCCATCTCCACTCACAAAAAGCAATGTTTCCTTAAAGGCAATAGATCACTGATAGGTGTGAATTTGGCATTGGAGCCAATCAACATTTAAAAGCCTTGGGAATTTAGCACCTCTGCCTGCCCAGGAAGATCTTTTCTGATGAGGGAGATAACAGACAAAATATTTTCTAAGTCCTAAGACCATAAAACTATATCACACCTGGATTTCCTGTTTCTCGGTGACTATAAAACTTATACATCACACTCTTGTGAGCTCATGTCTTAACACAAAGGATTTCAAATGACACAAAACCCCCACTAAAGTACCAGTCTGGGGTCAGTGCCCCCAAAAGCAAACCTTGTATTGTTTTTGGAATAATAAATCTTTTTTTTTTCCAAAAGCAGCCAGCCTCCGCATCTTGATTGCTTCCCAGCTCAGAAGGAACCCAGTGTCAGGCCTGGAAACCATCTTTTGCATTGGGCCTGCAAAATTCAATGCTGTGGGAAAATGGGAGGGGGAATTATATGGAGTATGGGAGATATATAGTCATAATAAAATTTATTTTTCAGACAGTCAAGGACATCTTATCTTGCACATGGAGGGAGGCATCTCCAGTTGGGACAGTGCCTGATTGGGCCATGTGATGGACATGTGAGTGCTGACAAGGATTTGAACTTTCACTTGTGCGGGGGAAAACCTGGAAACTTTAAGATTCGGATTTCCCCAGAGATGCCAATATGACAGCTCTAATAAAATGGAACTTTGAGGAAATCCAAGCCTCAGAGTTTTCTTTTGTTGGGGGTGTTACTTGGAACCCTGGCAGCCGCCTTATGTGGTTCTCTGCTAAGCGGTGACAAACTGCCAGGAATTCTGGGGAGAGGGAATTGTTTGGGGAAATGAACATCCTGCCTCACCCTATCACCCAGCTGGAAGGGGGGAGCCACATACCAAACTGCCCTTGGACTGAACGCTATAAAAACATCTTGCCTGAACCCAATTGGTTACACTGGAATGGACAAAGAGAGAGAGAGAGTTAAGGGAGGGGAAAGTAGAACTTAGGAATTTTGGCGTGTGATTCTGAGTTCTGGCTTTGCAATATAGATAGTCCTGGGTTTAACAACAATTTTGTTTAGTGGCCATTCAAAATTACAATGGCATTGAAAAAAGTGGCCTGTGACCATTTTTCACAATGTGATTTATATTCAGATGCTCAACAACTAGTTCATATTTATGACGGTTGCAGTGGCCTGAGATCATGTGATCCCCTTTTGCAACCTTCTGACAAGCAAAGTAAAGGGGGAAGCCAGATTCACTTAACAACAGCATTACTCATTTAACAACTACAGTGGTTCACTTAACAAATGGGGCAAAAAAGCCATAAAACGTGGAAAAACTCACTTAACAAATTTCTCACTTAACATAAATTTTGTGCTCAATTATGGTGGTAAGTCAAGGGCTACCTGTACCACAATACACTTAGCCTCTAATAAACTATATCTTTCTCAAGAAATGGAGCCAAGGATCGTGTCAGACCGTGTAATCTTTGTGTGAGAATACTCAGATCTAGTTTTACTTTTGCTGTAACCACTTAACTTTAGTAAAAGAACCTAACACTTGGAGTCAAGAATCTTTCCTAAATGTCTAAGTCGGAGCAAGTCTATCATTAAGTTAGATCTGAGTATTCCCATGCAAAGGTTACACATTTTTCTCTTTCCACGGCCTTTCCCTCTTGACCAGTTTATCAGTGTCCAATAGTATTCCTTTTCAATGTTTTGGGAACAGCTCTGATGCTAGGCACTTCTTGATGTAGTTTCCCATTCTATTCCCAGGCTGTGTCCTTGGCAACCGACTTATTCCACTTTTACACCTCTAGTCAGCTTGTCTCCCCACCACCACCACACACACACACACACATTTGTCTACTCAGTCCCATGTCCAACCTTTGCTTCCCCCAAATTCCTCCCCCCCCCTTTTATGGCAGGATGCCAGCGAAGCGAAAGAAGCTGAAAATGGCAGACCTGACAGATCGTTTCTATTTACAGGTTTAAGTTGTGGTAGGTCCGACATTTTGCTTTGCCTGCCTTGCTTAGTGATTTGTACTTCTAGGTGGGCAAAGAAGCCCCTTTGCAAAGATAAAAGTCTTTCTCTCTCTCTCTAAATTCAAGGATCAAGTTCTTATTAACTCCACACCGGGGTGGTCAAATTTGAAGGCAACAAAGGGACCGAACCCAAAAAAATGGGTCAGCTCCAGAGAAAAACTAAATTTAGTAGCAGATGAGAAAATGCAAATGACATGGAAATCCCGACCTTAGCAACTGCTTTCACAGGAAAAGGAGGAGTCCAAGTTAAGATACACACAGAGAAACACATACACATACAAACACGCACATATATACCCTTAGCCTGATCTCAAATAATCAGAATAGAGCTGGAAGGACCTTGAAGGTCTTCTAGTCCAACCCCTTGCTCCAGCAGCAGATTCTGCCTATAACGTTTCAGAAAAGCGGCTCTCCAGCCTCTTCTTTAAAAAAAAACCTGAACGATCTCAATGGTCAGTTTCCAGTATTGCCCCCTGCGAAGTGGGGGGGGGAGGTGGGAGACGGGAAGGTAGGAAAGGGGAAAGAGGCTCGATTCCCGATCCAACATGAGATGAGGAAAGGGGCGAAGAGGGCGCAACGTCGCGTGCGGAAAAGCGGTCAGGGGACGAGATTGAGCAGGCGCCGCCGTTTCTTCTCCATTGGAGGAAAGGCGAGGCGGCGGGAAAGGCGTCCCGGTTCCTTGCTTTCACCTCCGCCCGATTCCGGGGAGGGAGGCGCGGCTGGGCGATCGCAAGCTTGGGATTCCGCGTGGGCAACGAGCCGTCCAAGCCAGGGGATGGGCAGGCGCGGGAAAAGGGAGCCTTGGCAGTAATGCCTCTTGCGCTCCTGGGATTTCTCTTTTCCAGCAGCCTCGGCGCTGACGGCTCCTTTCTCCGCTGCCTGCCACGCGAGCCCGCGCATTCCCTCCCGCGCGTCCCCGTGGGGCTGGGAGGGGGTGGGGGATGGGAATGAGGTTGTACCTGCGCCGGAGGAAAGCCGGAGTTGCTCACCTTCCCTCCTCCCCCTTGGAAGACGGGAGACTCCTTGGGGACCGGTGAATCATGCTCAAGCCCGGTCTTCTCTGCTTGCGTCGGGGGCCGCAGGAAGGGAACTCCCCAATCCCAGGAAATGCGCAATGGCCCCCTCCGGATAAGACGCGGCCTGCCCTCCCCTTCCGTCTTGCTGCACGTGGGAACGGGGGTGGGATAAGTGGAGAAGAGGAAGGGAGGGAATGTCAGGGGTTAACTATTCCCGGGCTGTTTTGGTTTGCGAAAACGGAGCCGATCCGCCAAGGGTCCTTTTTCCTGCAAACCTGCCCCAGCTCATCGCTTCGCATTTTTGAGCGGTTCCTAAATTGCCGCTCCAAACGTTCACTTTCTCGGATCCGCAATTCAACCGAGATGATTCATTTGGCCAGTTGCGAAAGTAATTTCTCAGAAATCAGACACACAAACAAACAAACACACAAACACAGAGACACATACACATACATACACTATCAAGTTCTCTGTCTCTCCCCCTCTCTCGTGCAAGGCAAGCCGTCATCGGTAGATGGCACCCTCGGCCTTTCCTGATAGAATAGGATTCTTTATTGGCCAAGTGTGTTTAGCAGACAAGGAATTTGTCTTTGGTCCAAATGCTCTCAGTGTAGTAAGGAGAATAAAATACATTTATCAAGAATAAAAAGGTACAACACTTAGTGATAGTCAAGGTTACTAATAAGCTATCAAATCGTACTAGGAAACAAAACCTATAGAATTGAAAGATACCAAGCAATGTGGTTATAGTCATAAGTGAGGAAATACTAGGAAGGAAGAGACCAGTAATAGCAATACATTCTTAATAAATTATTGACAATGTTGTGGGAACTAGTTGTTAAGCAGAGTGATGGCATTCAGAAAAAAGCTGTCCTTGTGTCTAGTTCCGTGATGGTGAACCTATGGCAAGTGTGCCACAGGTGGCACACAGAGCCATTTCTGAGGAGACACAAGGCATTGCCCTATCACCTTGATTGTTAGCTGTTTTTTGCCCTCCAGAGGCTTCCTAAAGCCTCTGGAGGGTAAAAAACCGCCCAACGCGCAACCCAGAAGTTTAGGAACAGAACTTTTGGCACCCGAGGTGAAAAAGGTTCGCCATCACTGGTCTAGTTGTTCTGGTGTGCAGTGCCCTATAGTGTCGTTTTGAGGGCAGAAGTTGAAACAATTTATGTCCAGAATGTGAAGAGTCCGTAGATATTTTCACAACCTTCTTTTTGACTCATGCCGTATACAAGTCCTCAATGGAAGGCAGGTTAGTAGCAATTGTTTTAATGTCTATGGAGATTCTCAGTCATTCAGGTGATGATTGTCCCAAAGGTGCTTTTTCAGGAGGCAACTGAAGTCTCTTGTTTTTTCTTTGAGGATGTTTCTTTTCACATCCAAGAGGCTTCTTCAGCTCTGACTGGATGGTGAGGAATGGAAGGATTTACATTCCTTGCAGACAGATGGTTGTTTGTGTTCTTTTTAGAGAGTTGTTGAGGCCACTTGAAGGGTTGTCTGTGTTCTGAGGGTCACTTGAGTGATTCAGATGAGTGTGGAACCTTCTTGGAACTGCTGAAAGCATTGTGTTGTGGAGGTATGTTTTCTGCAGGATGTTTTCTGCCCTGTTCTCCATTGTTTAAAGAGTGCTTTGCCATTACATTGTACTGATAAAGGAGAACATTTGCAGCTCAGGGTTGACATAAGGGGTCCTTGGTGCTCTCTTAGCTTGGTTGTTTTTTGCAAATGTTTCATTATTCAACTAGGTAACATCATCTGTGCTGGCATCAGTGATAAATTTAACTAGTTGGCTAATGAAAGGACTGCAAGAAAACAAGTTTCTTGCCTAGGCAGGGGGTTGAACTAGAAGACCTCCAAGGTCCCTCCCAACTCTGCTATTGTATTGTATTGTATTACGTTCAGAAACCGCCAAGAGCCCCATATTACACCATAGTCTAGTTCAGTGATAGCTAACTTTTTTGTCGTGGCATCCCTAAAGTGCGTCGTGTACGACAGCATGCCCGCACGCATGCCAGCACTCATCATGCTATGGATGTGTGATACAACCTCCAGTGCCTGGCCCCACGTGCATGTACAGACGACCTCCATGGATGGGTTCCGGCTCTTTTTACTGCCAGTTCGCTCATGGATGCACTTGGGTGCACTACATGCACATGGTCAGTAGGTTAAAAAAATGCTTCTCCACATACGTAGAAGTAAAAAACAAGATGGCGGTGCCTATGGCAGTGCCGATAGAATCGGTTCAGGGGCGTGGCCAGCCAAACTGGTAGGAATTCACCTCTGGCGACCCCCCTATATTCCCCGCCCTCTCGCACATGCATGCATGACCCCCACACACACACCTTGTTTTGGGCCTAGCAGGCCTCCCTGTAGCCTCCTGAGATCAAAAATGAGCCGGGGGTGTGCTGCATTCCCCCTGCCCCCCACACATACACACACAACCCCATGCACCTTGTTTTGGGCCTAGCAGGCCTCCCTGTAGCCTCCTGAGATCAAAAATGAGCCGGGGGTGTGCTGCATTCCCCCTGCCCCCCACACATACACACACAACCCCATGCACCTTGTTTTGGGCCTAGCAGGCCTCCCTGCTGCCTCCTGGGAACAAAACAGGCTGTGGGGTGTGGTGCTACACTTAGGCCTCCTGGGACCCAAAACAGGGTGGGGGTGCCACATCCCCCACCCCTCCCCTAAATATACCCGTGACCCCCCTGCACCTTGTTTTAAGCCTAATAGGCCTCCCTGTAGCCTCCTGATATCTCAGTCAAAACAAGGCACATTCCAACTGATATGCCCGAGGTCGTCTCCACGGAAACCCACAGTGACTGGAGGGAGTTCCTGCAGTCTTTTCGGTTGTCCTGGGGCCTTAGCTCAGCTTTTCATCCGACTATCAATTTGGGGGGAGGGGAGAGAGAGGACATTTAAACGCCATGATAGAGCAGTACCTGAGGTGTTATGTGAACTATCAGCAGTCCAATTGAGTGGACCTCTTGCCTTTCGCTGTTCACAGTAGCATGGGCCTAACCATTCAAAATAGTGAGTGGCATGGACTTTGTCCCAATGCCAGAATACCCAAGGGATCCCCCCCCCCCTCAATTAAATTGACAGGGTCTTTTGACACTAAAAGCAGTATGGGGAAATGTCAAAAAGGCGCTAGCTAAAATGGCACTAGCTAAAATGGCGCAGACCTATAAGAAACAGGCAGATAAACACTGAGTCCCACAACGACCATTCCAGCAGGGGGTGGAGTCTACATTTCTACAAAATACTTGAGGTTAAAACTCCCCAGTAAGAAGCTGGGGCCCAAGTTCATGGGGCCATTCCCCATAGTGGAAATCATAACCTAATCACTGTGCAATTAAAATTGCCCCAATTGCTAGGAAAGATATACTCAGTATTCCATAGCAGCGTCTTAAAACCCGTGGTCATGCCAACCCTGAGACCACTACCCCATGAGTCTCCGGACCCGGTGGTCATAGAGGGACAAACCCATTATGAGGTGCAATGAATTCTCGACTCGAGGTGGCACAGGAGACAGCTGCAATACCTATTCAAGTGGAAGGGCTAACCCTTATCAGAGGCATCTTGGGTAAAGAGTAGAAACATCCAGGCTGACCGCTTCATAGCTAAATTCCACACGGACAACACAAACAAATCTGGTGTGGAAACGCAACCCTAAAATCTATACCTGTACTTGAACTGTCTTTGTTTTGGACAGGAAGTGAGGGGAGCTGAATGTCAACTCTCAAAGCATCCCTGACCTGCTCTCGAGTTGCCATAGGCAAGGGGGATGAGAAAGTGAACCTTGCAGCTGCAATCAAGGAACTGGTATCGGAGTGAAAACAAGCCACATTCCAACAGATACACAGAGGTCGTCTCCACGGAAACCCAGTGGCCAGTGGGAGTGACTTTTACAACCTTGCTACTTTGGGTAATGTGAGTGACGACACATATTGTGGGGAGGGGGAAACAGGATCGGAGGCAAAGAACGAATTAACTAAGATCAGATTTGAATCCACCTGGTCTGTGCCAGCATGAAGCTCCTAATAAACCTTTGAAGCTTGGATTGAGGTTCATGATTTAATTAGGGAATCTGAACCCTGACGTAGTGTCTGCGTAATGTCTCCTGATAAGAGAAAGCTTGTTCGCACTAATTTTGCATCTGGTTAGTCTTGTGAACTGCAGACAACTTTTTGCTTTTTAATATCCTAAAATGTATGCACCTTCTGTCATAATTTTATGATGACAGAACATGTGTGATATTATGGGATGCAAATATATAACCTGTTTGACTGCATGTAATTGATTATCTTTGCAAAGGAAAAGTTACTTTTGTTCTGTCCAATCAACTTTTCTCTTGCATTTTTTCTGATGTCTTAACTATAAAAAGGAATGTAAGATGGGTCTTGAAGTTCTTCCTTTTCACAGGGCGATCCTACTTTATTAGAGTACTAGATGATAACCCAGGTATTTATAGACTTCAAAGCTTTTGTCTGACAGAACCATTGAAAGGGGCCTTTCTTCCCGCTACCCCAATGCCCATCATCCCTGCCCTCTCCCTTCTTCCTCCCATGCGCTCTTCTTTCCTGCCTTATCTACGGTTCTTGGAGGCAATAGTGCAGCAATGAAATCTATTATGAAATACAATCAAGTAAGCTAAGGAAAAAAACAAAATTGTTTCGTTAAAATTATGAAGTAATTACATCCATTTAGAAATTTAAAACTTTATTAGAAATTTTATTTTTCACCTCTTCCCAACAGAGCTACACTATTCCTGAACTGTCTGGTGCGCTCGGTATAAAAATGCAGCGCCCTTTTGACATCCCAAAAATGTCAGAGCCGTTCTTTAGAGTGGACAGGGTTCGGGGCACAACAATAGGAAAATCTGCCACTACCACCCATTTTACCATTTTCTCAAACTGGGCCTGGGACTGGAACATAAATCCCTGAGCTGGGCCATGCTGCGCCTCCTCCACCCCTGCTGAAATAGGCCTGGGTCTCCTCCGTGGCCTCCATACCTGTTTCGCCTTGGTTGGGATGGTCCCGTCCTTCACGGCGATGATTTGGGGCGAAGGACGATCCTGGGAACACCGGCCAAAGTTATGAGGTAGGGGCGCACTCAAAGGCCTCTGTACTGGCCTAACCAAGCTCCCTTCACTTCGTAGGCCGACTGTGTGAGGGAAGCCTAGGCCTAAGTTTGGGTGAAGGATGATCCTGGAAACACAGGCCGAACCTGTTTCTTGTGAGATTGAGCTGCTGCGATGAGGTGGGAGTGTGCGATCCGCTTAGGCTGTGGCGTGTCTAATCAAAGGCCTCTACTGGTGTAATCAGGCTCCCTTTGTTTCGTAGTCGTACTGTGTGAGTGAGGACTAAACCTTAAAGGCCCACTGTGTGAAGGAGCACAGTCAATCAAATGCCTCTGTACTGGCCTAATCAGCTTCCCTTTATAGGACTAGTGTGTGAGGGAGGCCTAGTCCTTAAAGGCCCACTGTGTGAAGGAGCATGCTCAATCAAAGGCCTCTGTACTGGCCTAATCAGGCTCCCTTCGCTTTGTAGGCCTACTGTGTGAGGGAAACCTAGGCCTGAGTTTGGGTGAAGGATGATCCTCGGAACAAAGGCCAAACCTGTTTCCTGTGAGATTGGGCTGCTGCGGTGATGTGGGGGTGTGCAATCCACTTAGGCTGTGGCATGTCTAATCAAAGGCCTCTGTACAGGCCTAATCAGGCTCCCTTTATTTCGTAATCATACTGAGTGAGGGAAGCCTAGGCCTTAAAGGCCCACTGTGTGAAGGAGCACAGTCAATCAAATGCCTCTGTACTGGCCTAATCAGGCTCCCTTTGCTTTGTAGGCCTATTGCGTGAGGGAAGCTTAGGCCTGAATTGGGGTGAAGAATGATCCTGGAAACACAGGCCAAAGCTGTTTCCTGCAAGATCGGGCCGCCCCAGTGAGGTGGGGGTGAACAATCTGCTTAGGCCATGGCATGCTCAATCAAAGGCCTAAATCAGGCTCCCTTCCCCCCCCCCCACATGACATCATGAACAATTACCCCTCTAGGATGCCATACTCGCTCTCCTGAAAGGCCCAGGCTTTCCAGAGTTATGCTGGAACACGCACATGTGTGCGCGTACACACACACACACACACACACACACACACACACACACACACACCAAGAAGTGTTGGGGCATCTTATCCCCACAGTATTTTTCTCCAGAGGGGTAAGTCATCTGTGTACCAAGTTTAGTTGGAATTGCTTGAGACGTTCCAGTGTTAGAGGATAATAAATTGCTTTTAAATGATCTTCCAACTTGGTTACTTATTGGAAAAGGTAAACTGAGGCAGAACCTAGGGTCAGATTGGGCCATCACCCTCTAGCTATCCCTAAAGGTCCAAAAATGGAGTTTTATGACGGAGCTCACCCAGGTCCTGCGAAATATGGCCTACCTATTCCAGAATTTGAGAAATGAGAGGTCATTTAAAAACTAGTCTTGGCAAAATATGTTCCATGCATGCAAAAAATGTTGGTTTTAAGAAATACACACTTTTTCTTTCAAGACAAAAAAAAATCACCACAGATTTCTGAATGAGGAATAAGAGTTTATAAGCTGTGAAAATTACAATGTAAAATTAAACGCTTATAAAATCATAGATATAAAAATGCTAGCATGTTATTGCTAAATCAAATAATACTGCACTTTCACTAGCTAATACTGCCTTAACCTTTTATGAATGAATATCTTCATTCATGATGTGTGAATGACTTCACACATGAAAAACCTCCATTGAGAACTCAGGTGCATTTTAGAAATTATGCAACTATACCCTATGGGTCAAATTGAATGGATACAATGTCATCTCTTCCTTCAGGCAAATCCACAATTGGTGAATGACTGCCTAATGCCACATACATTTGCACACAAGTGTATCTCGTCTATATGGATTGTCAGTGTGGATTGTCACAATTTCCGGATCATAGTGTTTCAAACATGCTTGGAGAAAATATATACACTTGAAATTTGGCCAATCTTAAGAAGAGAAAGCCCGAAGGACAAAAATGCATTCACATTATGAATTCTAATGAATTTTGTATGCTTAGTAAGCAATCTACAAGGTTCTTTTTCCTTTCTAAAATGTTAGAAAGCATTACTATTTTTATTCTCTAGTTGCAACTCTGCACCACTAGTATCCGTGAGAGCTGTATGACATCACACGTCATGGTGCTTTACAGACAGTGCTCGACTTAAGATTATGCAGGTAGTCCTTGACTTAGCTCCACAATTGTACCCAACTTTTGCTGTTGCTAAGCAAAACAGTTGTTAAGTAAATTTTGCCCCATTTTATGACATTTCTTCCCACAGCTATTAAGTGAATCACTACCGGTTAAATTAGCAACAGGGTTGTTAGTTAACCTGGCTGCCTCATTGGCTTTGCTTATCAGAAGATAGCAAAAAGTGATCACATGACTCCAGGAAACAGCATTATCATAAATATAATAAGCCAGTTGTCAAGCATCTGAATTTTGATCATGTGACCATGGAGATGTTGCAACAGTCATAAGTGTGAAAAGCAGTCACCGTTCAGTGCCATTGTGATTTTGAATGGTCACTAAATGAATAGTTGTAAATCAAGGACTACTTATACTAGAGTGTGAAATTTCTCTCATAAGCCAAGGACTACCTGGTTGCAAATGATTCGAATGATGCAGTTGGTGCAAATGACATAATTACAGCATGACACTATAAACGTGGCTCTTAGACATGCCTCAGCCCTACATGTTCATTTGGCTGAAATTATCCCTTAGGAGAAACCATAAGCAAACTTGATTTTGCCTGTTATTATCCAACAAATTATAGCTTTGCACATTTCCCCTGGGATCCTTCAACTCCTGAGCAAAGGCCAGCTGTTGGTCTGCCTTGTTTGCCTTTATGTACCAAATTAGTCTTTGCAGTGGGCATAAATGGGGCATCTTTGAGGTGGCAACTGAATCAAAGCAGGAAATCTTTCTGTTATAAGTGGGTTAGTGTTTTTTTACATTCTACAAGACTCCTGGATTTTCTAATTACCCCAACCCCAAGTTTTCAACAACAGAAATAACTATAGGGGGAAATTTCTCCTCAGAATATAAAGCCCGGTGTCCCAGATGCATACTCTATAAAAAGTCTTTAGAGCAGGGTGGGCAGCTATAGTCCCTTTTTGGCCTGTAGACTTCAATTCCCAGAATTCCTACATGTCTGGCTCAGGAATTCTGGGAGTTAAAGTCCATGGTTCATAAAGGGGCCATAGTTGCCCATTCCTGCTTTAGAGCAAATGTTAATCATTTCAATTGAGGCTTAATTCCAGGCCTCATTTGGACCTTCACATCAAAGTTCAATCTGTTTTCTCTGCTGGCAAAGCAGCATTGGATTTGTCATCTGCAAACAGAGAACATAGAATAATAGAGTTGGAAGGGATCTTGGAGGTCTTCTCATCCAACCCCCTGCTCAAGCAGGAGATCCTATGCCAGCCAAATGGCTGTCCGTAAGAGAATCATATCTTGCATGCCTTTTCCAGTATGTTTTTAAAGCTTCCTGAACCCTAAGCTTTAGCATTATTAAATAATTAAATTGTGCAACTTGCTCTTTTCCCAAAATATGTGTTTGGTGCTGCAAAATTTGGATTTGGAATGGATATAAAATTTTAGCCTTGCTTTTAAACTACAGGCTACTCTTTCATGCTGAAAAAACTAGGCTAGAAGGTAGAATCTAGGAAGCTTTTGACCTTCCTAATGTGTGCTTTAAAACAGACCTTTACTTTTATTCACTCATATTCCCAATATATAAATCACATTTCTGCATAAGTAAGGTAAATAGCATTTTCCTCATTTCTGCAAGTCTACATGATTTCTTTTGGTTCTAGCCCTCCCCTCCCACAACCATGTTTCATTTCCATGCATGCATAAAACATGAATGCTTCATGTAAACAGTGTTGTCACAAGGGGGCAGCAGGAAGTACGATAGCAATCACATGTTGCAGACAGGAGGTTTGAATGCACCATATTTAGCTAACATTATGTCATCTTCTCCCACATAGATCCATCTATCAGAAGAAATGGGAAGGACAGGCCTGAAACTTGAGGTTAAACCTCAGAAGATGGGGTAGGCTGCAAAGCTTGTTCCTCTGTACGGGTCCGCTTCGGGGAGGGACCTTCTAACAAGAAAGATTCCTCCACTTCAGATGTTCGTTTTTCCACAGCTGTGGTGGGTTCCAAGCAAGTTGCTTTGTCCGTAGCCTGGAAGACAAGCAAGGTAAAGTAAAGGTAAAGGTTCCCCTCACACATGCATGCTAGTCGTTCCCAACTCTAGGGGGTGGAGCTCATTTCCGTTTCAAAGCCAAAGAGCCAGCGCTGTCCAAAGACGTCTCCGTGGTCATGTGACCAGCATGACTAAAAACCTATACTTGCATTTTTACATGCTTTCAAACTGCTAAGTTCGCAGAAGCTGGGACAAGTAATGGGAGATCACTCCATTACGCGACGCTAGGGATTTGAACTGCTGAACTGCCGACCTTTTTGATCGACAAGCTCACTGAGCCCACCTCATCCCAAACAATCCAGCAATTCTGAGACGTTCAGCTCTCTCAAAGAACTGCTTTATTGAGTGTGTCATTTCGGCACTTTTGAAATGCCAAACCAGCTCTGTCTATTTCCCACACTTTCAGTATTGTTAAAGAATAGGCAGCTCCCTCCCTCCTTGTCGCAGGTCACATTGCCCAATTAGGTGTTGTGGTGTTTCCTTGGTAACCCCTTCCAGTCTCTGGCTAGCACCCGTTGGGATGACCTTGGTTCCCACGAGATAGTAAGTTGTTGATGTCTGGTCCGACATTCCAAAGCTTTCTCCTCTCCCACAAAGTGCGTCAAGCTGAGAAACGGAGAAAATGGCTCCAACAAGCCAACCCGTTTCAAAGTTGACGGTCACCTTCTATCTCAGATTTTCCAGCCTAAACATGTCTCTCAGATAAAGGGAAAAACCACAACATTGTGCTCAATATCTGATTCCACATTTGTGCATCTCGAATATTCAGAAATTCTGCTTTGGAAATTCTGTGGGAAGGGATTCTCTTCTTTTATTTTTTCAGGAAAACAAGAGAAAAACTGGAATATGCAATTCTGGGCCATGGGAGTACAGGTAGTCCTCAACTTATAACAACTTGTTTAGTGACCATTCACTAAGAACCATGGTGGCGCAGTGGTGAGCAGGCAGTACTGCAAGGCTAACTCACTGCTCACTCCAGGAGTTCGATCCTGACCGGCTCAAGGTTGACTCAGTCTGCCATCCTTCCAAGATCAGTTAAAGTGAAATGAGGATCCAGACTGTTGAAGACAATATGCTGACTCTGAAAATTGCTTAGAGAGGGCTGTAAAGCAGTATATAAGTCTAAGCACTATTACTCTTCAAAGTTACAACAGCGTTAAAAAAAGTGACGTATGGCTGTTTTTCACACTTGCAGCTTCCCCATGGACACGTGACTAAAATTCAAATGCTTGGCAACCTGCATGCATTTATGATGGTTGCAGTGTCCCAGAGTCATTTGATCCCCTCTTTTGACCTTCACACAAGCGAAGTCACTGGGGAAGCCAGATTCACTTCACAACAGTGTTGCTAACTTAACAACTGTAGTGATTCGCTTAACAACAGTGACGAGAAAGATCATAAAATGGGGAAAACTTACTTGCTTAGCAACAGAAAAGTTGGTCTCAATTGTGTCATAAACTATCATAAGCGAGTTGTATAGAATTCAAGAGGGCGTTAAATATTTTAAAACACCAAAGTGGTAGATCTCACTGATCATTTTTAATTTTTTTTAAAAAGTTTTTAATTGTTAAAATTGTAGGATGCAAAAGAAAGCAAGAAAATGGCCAAGACAGAACAAAGAATACTGTATTTGAAAGACACCTGATCAGAGATGAATACAGGTGATATTCAGTCAGTTCTGACCGGTTCTGGTGAACCTGTAGCGGAAATTTTGAGTAGTTCCAAGAATTGGCAAATACCACCTCTGGCTGGCCCTGCCCCATCTATTCACTACCTTCCTAGTCCCAGCCGAACGGAGAACGGAGCTGGAAAGCGGATAAGTGGGTTGGGGAGGGAATGGAGATTTTGCAGTATCCTTCCCCTGCCATGCCCACTAAGCCATGCCCACCGTCACACCATGCCCACCAAGCCATGCTCATAGAACCAGTAGTAAAAAATTTGAATCCCACCATTGGATGAAGTTCAATACTGTATTGTAGCTAAGAGATGGTTTTGCTTCATTGTGAGTACAAATTTCAGATAGCATTTTGTTCATAATAATTTCCTCATTTTCACACATTAAAAAAAGGCTGAGGCTTTGATAGCGTGGTGATGGCCATCTTGAAGTTTTTTATTTCCTCCGCCCCCCCTTCCCCAAATTCTCAGGTTTTTTTCCACAATCAGCACAATTACCTGGAAATCAGATGCCATGAGATCTGGTTCTTCTTTACTAAGCTTGGGAGGGTCATCGGTTCCCTCAAGAAGGGGCACTCCAGAATCTGTACGCAGAAAAAGAATCAGTCAAAAACAGGCAAATCCCAGTAGATTTTCTGAAAAATATAGCCTTTTTTCCCCTGTCCTCCATCATCTTATGAACATCCATTCTCAAAATTTACTTTTTGCAGACTTGGGGAAGAGATTTGTGCTAAGGTTCAAAACTGAAAATTTAGCTAATCAGTAGAAAAGTTGGATAGGATAACACAGCAAGAAAGAGAGTGTTGTGGACTGCCAATGGCCAGTGGAGCTGGCAGGAGATTCGGACATGGAGAAGGTTGAGGAGGAACATGGCTAGTCCTGGAGTCTGGGGAAGGCTCTGATGAGGGCTCTGCATTGGAGGCAGAGATGAGAGATAGGGCCAGGGCCGTCTGACAGTTATCAGCTGCCTTTGGAGTTGGACCAGAGGTGGGTTGCTCCCAGTTCGGTCTGGATTGAGCAAACCAGTAGTAGCGGCGGCAGGAGGCTCCATCCACCCATCCAGATGCTTCTGCGCATGCACAGAAGTGTCGCGCACATGCAGGGGATCACGCCCGAACCAGTGGTAAAAAAATTGGCAACCCACCACTGAGTCAGACATTAGTGAGGCAGAAGAACAATTGGCGCCTGTTCCTAGTGTGTGCGGGCGCAGAGCTGCCAGGGGAAGAGAACAGCTAAGGAACAAGGGTCGACTTGGGAGTAAAGCCACAGGTGGACAGTGAAGGGCCCCTCCCATAGGGAATAAAGAGAAGCAAAAAGGAAGGGGAGTTTGTAGGAGACAATTACTTCAATTCATTAGGATGAAGATCTGTTCCTGACTTCTTGCCAAGTATTGTCTGCTACAGAGTGGTGTTGGGAAGATATCAGCCTGGAAGCTCTCCAAGCCTGATAAAGGTCTGCAGTTGTGAAATCTCTTGAAAGACTTGGACAGGACTTTGCTGGAGAGGAATTCACTTTAAACTAAATAAAAGGGGTTTTATCAGGACGAGGAGTCAGCTTTGTGCTTTTGGGAAGCTTAGGTCAGAACAGAGAAGCTTAAATATAGCTGTGGAACAATATAGAATTTTATCAGAGCATAATTGCATTCTCGCTAAGCGTTAAAAATTGGGAAGAACTTCTGGAGGAAGGGAAAATGAGTTACAGGTTGTCGATTTACAACTATTCGCTTAGAGGCTATTCCAAGAAGTTACAATGGCACTGAAAAAAGTGACTTAAGACTACTCACACTTTATAAGATCTGTGTGGCCACATAATCAAAAACTCAGATGTTTGGTAACCAGCATGTAGTCACAAGGGTTTCGGGTTACGTGATCATCATTTTTGACTTTCCCTCTGACAAGCAAAGTCATTAGGGAAAGCTAGATTCACTTAACAACCATAGGCAAACATGGTCGTAAAATTGAGCATGCTTCACTGAACAATTTTGAGGGGAGTTCCAGGCTCAATTACGGTTATATTGTCAATGAATACCAGTACACAAAAAAATTGTTCTGACCTAGGCTTTCCCAAAAGGAACAAGGCAAAGTCCTGGTTCCGACAAAACCCCTTTTATTAAACAAATGTGAATTCCTCTCATTCACATTCAGCAAGGACTGGCAAACAGCCTTTCAAAGGAATATTTATGACTACAGACCTTATCTATCTTGGAAAGCTGCCATGTAAATATTTCTCAAATGGGGTGCTGTGCAACGAAAGACTTGGCACAGAGTCTCTGACGTTCACGGACAGAGTTTCACACTGCTGAAACGAATCTAACGACCTACCGACCGAATTATTTCCTGCAAATGCCCACTCCCCTTTCACTCCGCTTTTATTTCCTATGGGAGGAGACAATCATCTTCCACCTGTGGCTTTATTCCCAAGTCTACCCTGATTTCTGAATCATTCTTTTCTTCTGGCAGCTCTGTGCATGCACACACTGGGAACAGGCTCCAGTTGTTCTTCTGCCTCACTGCTGTCTAGCTCCAGATCACTGCAAGACAGCCTCGGCCTTGTCTCTGCCTCCGATGCACAGCCCTTGGCTGAGCCTTCCCCAGCCTCCAGGACTGGCTCATGTTCCTCCCCAACCATCTCACTGTGAGACTCTGCTGCCAACTTTGCTGTTCACTGGCAGGCCACAACACCTATTTCTCAAAGCATCATGCCAGTTACCACATGTAGAAGGTTTTCTGGGCCTTCTGCATATGGAACTCCAGAGATAGGCAAACAAAGGGCACAGATTTTAGAAGCAAATAATCCTTTTTACCTAAAACTAAAGACAGCAATGGAAAATTAGCCATAGGCTTAGCCTAGATGAAGACCAGAGTTTTAAAAATAGAGAAATGGATTGTGAAAAGGTCAGAATTTGCTGAAATAGCAAAGATAACTACTGGGTCAGAGGAGAAAAAAACAAAGACCTTTTTTTTTAAAGGCTGGAAACCATATAGGGATTTTTCTGTTGAAAGGAAGAAAAAAATAATATGGTGATTTATGGCTTTGAAACTGGAAAAATGTGGATTTAAGTGTGGGACTGAAGGGATTTGTATAGCATCCAAGAAGGCAGAGGAGCGATAAGATTGTAAGATTGTCTACTGAAAAGAAGGTTGGGGGTTATTCCATTTCATACCTTTCTTTTCTTTTCTTTTTTTAATTATGCACTTTTAAAAATGGTTTTTCTCTCTTTAGATCAGTGGTGGGTTGCAGGCGGTACACACCAGTATTGGCGTACTGGAGCCTGCCTGGAGCACCGGGTACCGTTCTGGTATGGTGCTCCCGAGGGCCCGCCTGCCCGCCCAAGCTCCTTACCTGTGCTTTAAGCCTTTGGCACTTCCGTGCATGTGCATGCCGTGTACGGCGCCTGTGCAACGCTCCGCCGAGCAGCTGGAGCGTCACAGAGGCTTGCGGAAGCAACACAGGCAAGTACGACACATGCGTGCACCGCACACATCCATGTGGGTGACGCCAGGGCCATTTCAACCGTACCAGTTGGAACAGAATTCGGAACCCACCTCTGCTTTAGATATTTTTACATAAGGTCTGAGGTGGGATTCACTTACCTTCCCTACTGGTTTGCAAATGTGAGTGCACTTGTGTACTGCCTTATCTGCGCATGCGCAGTGCTCATGCATTACAGCGGAGCGGGTGGGTGGAGCCTCCAACAGCCACCGCTACCGGTTCGCCTGAACTGGAGAGAACTGGCTCTGAATACCACCTCTGCTGTAGGTACGATTCTCAATGCAACTAAAATGATTTTTAAAAAAGACCAGGGATCCAATAAAAGGGGGCAAAATAAAACATGGTGGAATGCAGAGTTCGAAGCACAGCAAGGAAAACAGCTGAGCTGAGGTTTGAAAAGTTGCTTTTGAGGGGGAATACCCCAAATTCCTGGGATTGGAGTCTATTCTCCTGCTAGCCTCGTTTGGAAAAGCAGGGATATCAGCCTGGTGACCAAATATAGGTTAGTCCGCTCTATCGTGTTCTCCGTAGCTACCTATGGTTGTGAAAGTTGGCCCTTAAAAAAGCAAGACAGGAAGAAAATCAGCTTATTTGAGCTATAGTGCTGGAGAAGGCTCCTGCATATTCCTTGGGCAGCAAAGGTGACTAATAAGCAAAATGGGAGAGTATAACACACCAGACATGTCAATGGAAGGCCAAATTATGAAACTGACTTCACTTACTTTGCCCACATCATACAGGGGAATTCCCTTGAGAAAGAAATTATGTTTGGAAGAGTTAAGGATAAAAGGAAACCATGTCATCAAGCAGTGGTGGGTCCGGATCCTATTGCAACTAGTATGGTGCAACGGGGCCGGGCGTCTACCACATTCACATGTGCAGCACATGCACAGTGCGCACATGCGTATCTACTGCCTGTGATGCTCCAGCTGCTCAGCAGAGCGTTGCGCAGGCACCGTACACTCCGTGCGCATAAGCCCCGATTGGCTCAAGTACAGGTAAGGAGGGCAGGCAAGCAGGTGGGCCCGCCAGAGCACCGTACCAGAACGATACCTGGTGCTCCCAGTAGGCACCACCACTGCTGTCAAGGAGCATGGTGGCTGGATTACCATCAAGACTAACAGCAGGAAAAGCCTACAAAACTCAAAGAAGTAGCATAAGATTGGAAGACATAGAGAGACCTGGCCCACAGAATTGTGAAGAGTTGAACATGATTGAAGAGATAATAACCTCATCTATCCTCCAGAGCTCAGCCTTATGGATCCTCAAAGTATGATTTTGCTTGAGGCGGGATGGCTGCTATCAGTGGGTGCAGGCAGGGAGTGCTGGGGGGCTTGCTGGGTCAGCCAGGATAGATCACTAGCTTCAATCTTGGTCAAATCACGAGGACTACAGGTAGTCCTCGACTTACAACAGTTCATTTAGGGATCGTTCAAAGTTGCAAGAGCACTGAAAAAAGTGACATGACCATTTTTCATACTTAACGACCATTGCAGCATTCCCCTCAATTTGGATTCTTGGCAACTGGTTCATATTTATGACCTTTACTGTGTCCCAAGGTCATGCAATCCCCTTTTGGGACTTTCTGACAAGCAAGGTCAAAGGGGAAGCCAGATTCACTTACCAAACAGGTTATTTATCAACTGCAGTGATTCACTTAACAACTGAGGCAAGAAAAGTCATAAAATGGGGCAAAACTCACTTAACAAATGTCTCACTTAACAACAGAAATGTTGGGCACAATTGTAGTTGTAAGTCGAGGACTACCAGTGTTGTGCCCAGATGCTCACAGCTCTATAGTTGCCTTGCAAGGTAGTCCACACAAGAAGCACGCCCAGAAGTATTAGCTCTAACTTTAATGTAAGATTACTGTCATAGTTCCGACTAACAAATCCAAGCAAATCAGAACTCTGATGCTAGAGATTTCCTGAAATAATTTCTCTATTGGATACATCATATTGGCATAATCCAATGCAAAACCAACCCAAAATATTTCCTGTGGTTTCAGTATAATTAAAATAAGAAATAACTCCCTCCCCAACAGTCTCAGATAATATTGGCCAATTGGCAGGCTCTCCAAGCACTCCTCCTCAGCTCTATCCATCACTTGTAGAGATGACCTTGGTTCTCACGAGAAAGATCTGTGTTTTGTCTAGCAAAGCATTTCATCCTCCTCCCCCTCCCAGCTGTATGGCAACTGGGGAATAGAAAAATGGCTTCTGCCAGCTTTGATTTGAAGTTGACAGTTATATTAACAGAATCTTGAAAGTCTGAAAGTATGCTTCTTTCCCCTTGCCTTTACAATGAAAGTAACTAGGGAGGGTCCCTTCTGAGACATTTTCCACAGATCCATTTATTCTGCAGACTCAGCTGCCTGAAATCTAACTTTTGCATGGCGCTTTCTCCTGTCTCCCAAAGGTATTAGACTTTACCTCAGAGTTTCTCAGTCTGGGCAACTTGAGGTGTGGACTTCAACTCTCAAAATTCCCTAGCTTGGAGAATTCTGGGAATTGAAGTCAAACAAATCTTCAAACTGCAAAGGCTGAGAAATCCTCTTCCTCCTCTCCTTCCCATTCTTCTCTACCACCATCACCTCCTCCTCCTCTCCCTTCCATTTCTCTTCTCCTCTTCTCCCTCCCATTCCTCTCCTCCTCCTCTCTCTCCCATTCCCTCCTCCTCTTCCTCCCATTCCCCCCCTCCTCCTCTCCCTCCCATTCCCCTCCTCCTCCTCTCCCTCCCATTCCCCTCCTCCT